CATTAGATATAAACTGACTTGCCTGCCTATCACAAAAACCTACAGACCCGCCTGAATATAAGCCCAACTTCTCATTTCATAAAATGCAAAAAGCCTAGTTCTTCCACTATGGCTTGGGATCTCCAGGCTCTTCACTGTTTATATATAGTTATTTCTGTTCTCTCCCTGTCTCTCTTACCCTGCATCAGTGCCTTTCTGGTAGGACTGTTATCAGCGTGGCTTCTAAGCCCTTCCATTATCCAGGCATCACAGATTCATCTTCTGCCACTCTCAGCCCTTCATCACTCTGCTCTAGCCAGCTGGCCTCTGCCTGTCAAGCCCTAGCTGGCCCCAGGGCATTTATACCTACTGCTTCCTCTGCTGGAGTGCTTGCTTCTCCCTGACGCAAAACCTTGCATGTGCACACACATTCATTACCCACTGGGTTTGTTTTCAGATCCTGGAGGTCTTAGATTAAATGCCACCTGCTAAGAGAGGCCTTCCTTGACCACCTTGATCAAAGTTGATCCCCACTGTTTTTCTCTAATTTCCTTCTTTGTTTCTTTCTTACCACTTATTACAACTTGTTTACCTATTCTTCTATTTACTTTTTTAGGGCAGGAGCTTTGTCTCACTGATGACTAAATTCTCAGGGCTTGGAAGAGTGCTCTGCATATATTAAGCACTCAGTAAATATTTCTGACCAGCATCCTAGTGGGTGGTGCCACTATCTAGCTACTCAGCCAGCCAAAAACTTGGGAGTCTTTGAAGCCTTCCTTTCTCCTTCAGTTTTCTTACCTGAAGTCCTTGTTAATTTTTCAAATATCTCCCAAACCCACCTCTACCATTTCTCCTTCCCAAATTCATGGGTTGTTTTGTTTTGAGACAAAGTCTCACTCTGTCACCCTGGGTAGAATACCATGGCATCATAACTCACAGCAACCTCAAAGTCCGGGGCTCAAGTGATCCCCTTGCCTCTGCCTCCCAAGTAGCTGGAACTACAGGCACTGGACACAAGGCTTAATTTGTTTTTCTATTTTTAGTAGAGATGGGGTCTCACTCTTGCTCAAGCTGGTCTCAAACTCCTGAGCTCAAGCAATCCACTGATCCACTTGCTTCAACCTCCCAAAGTGCCCGAAATACAGGCGTGAGCCTCCATGCTTGGCTCCAATTTCTTTTTTTTTTTTTTAAGAGATGGAATCTCACCCTGTCACCCTTGGTAGAGTGCTATGGCATCACAGCTCACAGCAACGTCAAACCTTTAGGCTTAGGCAATTCTCTTGCCTCAGCCTCCTGAGTAGCTGGGACTAGAGGCGCCTGCCACAACGCCCGGCTATATTTTTGTTGTTCTTCCAGATTAGCGACAGCCAGGTTTGAACCAGCCATCCTCGGTATATGAGGCTGGCGCCCTACCACTGAGCTACAGGTGCAGCCCTCCAATTTCATTTTTAACTCTGTCAGCAATTTTCCTCCCGGTCTGGGCCTTTGCTTTCTTAATCACCAGCCTTTAGCTTCTTCCCTCACTGCTCCTGTAGAAATGTTTTGGAAACAAAGTCTGATCATTTCATTAGCTAGCTCACACTCCTTGGTGGTTTTCAGTCATCTATAAAATACAGTCAAAAGTGTAAAGATCCTTTATCTTCTGCCTCCCTTCCACCTCCATCCCCCAGAACCGAATTTGTAACCATTTTTAATCCCTAAATGTTCTCTCTGAAATACCTTTCTCTTCTTTACCTATTCAACATATTCCCACCATCCCTTATTAAGATAGCTACAAGAAATACCAACATAGAAAAAACTGCTGAGTTTGGAATTCGGAAGTCTGGAAATCCTTGTTGAAGTTAGGAAACGGATACTAGGAAACGTTACTGACTTGTCTTAGGGCACAGAGCTAGTGGGGATCAAAGCCGAAACTAGGCTTCATGTCTTCTGATTTCTAATCAACGCTTGACTGATAAGAAGAAAAGGAGGAGGAAGAGAATTTTTAAGTGTGATAAAAGGAGAAAGGAGAGAGGGTACTTACGTGAAGAAAACCAATATGCACAGAGAGGAGAAGGAAACAGATCGGCAGAAAGAAGCAAAGACCAAAGAGTGAGAGAAAATCCTGCCATCTCCGCTGTGGGTGCATTCAGTTCCTCCCTTAGACTAGTGTCAGGAAAAATTGTGAAAGACTTTGAAATGAGCAAGAAAGATCACCCACTGGGTGTCTTGAGGTTGTCTGTAAGCTATTTTTAGAACTCTTAAGTTGTAGAATATTGATAATAATGCAGATGATTGTTCATAGAAATACAGGTTATGTTCAGTGGAGATTTAATTTATTATTGCCTTATGGATATTGTCCAATTTTGCTTTACTTATGAAGTCAGGAATCCTAATTATTTATGTATGTGTGTGCGTTTTGATTTCTCTCTTGAACCAGTTGCAACATCTTACTGGTTTCCTCATTTACTGATGAATTTAATATTTTTTCCACATGTATGTGTTAGTATAATATGCCCAGTTTTACCTCCGTATGTTGACCAGTTTGTTACATTCCCTTTGGTGGTCAACTTACAGAGTTCTACTGTACCTAGATTGGAAAATTGGAAAAATTCAGTAGCCTTTGATATTTTTAATATTTAAAAAATGTTGTTAAATATGTTTCTGCCTCACTATAGAACCTCCGTTATTAGTAGTTGATTGTAATGAATCTTTAGATACATAAAGTAAAACCTCTGTAAGTGGACCACCCGAGGGACTGTAACAAAGGAGGTGGCCAACATGAGGAACTTCCATTGAATACATGTGGCACGGGTCCAGTCTATGAAAATTAGATCAACTGAGAGTGGGGAAGTGGTCAACTATGGAGGTTCTTCTGTATTTCAAAATTCTCATTCTACTTGAAAACCAGATCTAATAACAATAGACAAGTGATATTATTGACATTCAGGAGAGATTTGTATACTAACTAAACCTTCTTTCCTTGTCACTTCTTGTTAAAATGTGTTATTCTGATAGCGACTTTCTTCTGGACAGTTGAAATGACTGCATTTTCACCAAATGTATCTCTGTTGGTGCCTGCTAATTGCCTGTTTTCTTTGAAACTGTAATTTTGTGGGTCTGAATGATTGAAAATGTATTAGCGGCAGCTGCCTTATCGTTATTATTCCTGTAGGATGAAGCTGGCTAATTGCTATAATACCTCAGTCCTGGAAAAGAAAAGGAAAGGGAGCACCCGTAATCACAAACCATGTTCTGTAATGTTTGCAATTTGCTGTGCAAATTGTTGGTTTTAAGGATTGGAAAACTGCAGGAGTCTTCCCATTAGCAGTACTTTAAGGTATAATTAAAATATCACTTATAGCCCTGAAAAAGGAAATAGCAAATTATATGGGGCATGGATAATTTTCACTAGATGTTGTCAGGACAGATAGAAGAAATACCAACGTAGTTTTATTATTTTAATTGGAGGATTTTTAACTCTTTAAAATGGGAAGGAAACTAACATTGGCTGTGTCACATATTATGCTAGGTGCTTTATGTCCACTGTATCTCACTTTAATCCTCACAGCATTCTAATTTTATGGATGAGTAAACTGAGACCCAAAGTCACGTAGGCAGGAAATGGAGGAATGTGGATTTAACTTTGCTAACTCCAAGTCTTTGTCAAGTGAGAACTGTTAAAACTTTCTAGGTTCCCAGGTTGTGAATTTTATACATCGAAGGTCATTCCAGCAATCATCATTCATAATATTTACCTGAACAAAAAGTATATATATAGAACATTAGCAGTAAATTTGGAAAAACACATCCAGTTAAGTTAGCTGAGAATGTAGTCTGTCAAATGACGCTTCCTCTTTGGACTGAGAGATGGTTTTTCCCTTTTACCCAGTGCCAAGAACCAGAAAGGCAGGATTCCTGCTGTCCTTTTCTCCACACTGAGTCTGTTTCATTTGCCCTTACCTTGAGGCTGTAGCCCATTGCAGCCTCAAGCCTACCTGGTGATTTGTCACCTAAAGGCCTCCTTGTGGAGCAAGTCCTAGGTTTTATATCATGGTCCCAGAGCTTGCCTAAGTATCAGAATTGGAGCTCATAGTCCCCAGAGTTTTGCAGTACCTTCAAGAAAATTCTGGCTCTGAGTGCAAGGTAATCTCCCTTTCTTATATGGCCCCTATGAAACCTTACTTTCTTGCCAGTTCAATTATTTTGAAAATATTTCACGAAAATAAGTTATTTGACCTTTTTACTTGTTTTTAAGGGAAGAGTTGGTATCATACTGCTTAAAATGGAATTTATTATATTTCTTTCTTGTTTTTTTCTTCATTAATTTAAACTGTAAAAGAGGAGGGGAAAATTGGTGTGCATTTTTTTCTAAAGAAGTAATTGTTGTACTTACATAAAAAATAAGACTTTATGTTTATGTCAGTATTATATTTATGTAGTATATAAATGCATACCTTCACAGAAATGTACCTAGCAAGTATTAATTGGGATTATTTCTGAGTGTTTTGTTCTTTGCATCATTTTACCTTATATTATGAATATATAATGCTTTTGTAATGAGAGAAAACAGAATAACTGTGGAAAAAGACATTTTTGAAATAAAAATAAAATTGAATCCCAACACGTACAGTGTATGTATACATAATATATCCATATCATCAAGTCTTAATTGGATATAGTGTTTTATGTAAAAAAATTTCCGGACAGACTATTCTTTCAGCATTAGATTCTGTTTTCTTTCTGCCATGTCAATAGATATATTATGATAATAATGTACTGGGCATTGCTCCACCTTGCTCTTGCAGCCTGTTCCTCAGCGCTGGACTGTGTGGCCCTCTACTGAATAATCTGAGATTGCCAAATAATGTCGTAGGCCTACTTCCTAAACATTAAAAACAAAATATTTGTACTACTTTTCTTTCTCACTCTACGGTAAGTTCTCCCAGACTTCCTTAAATTGGTTTCTTACTAGGAACGTCAACTGGAAAGTTACTTGATAAAATAATGTCTATTTTAAAAGTCATCATCTTCTTTTTAAGGACAAGGAACATCCAAGATACCTGATTCCAGAACTTTGCAAACAATTTTACCACTTGGGCTGGGTCACTGGAACTGGAGGAGGAATTAGCTTGAAGCATGGGTAAGTTTCTGGCAGACTTTATTATGGGGAGTTCTCCATATGGCTAGACCACAGACAGCGTAACTTATTATGACCAAGGAACAGCTGATGATCAGTTTTATGAGATATTGAAGACATTTAGTTTCCAGATGGACACATGGCCATTTGCATAGCTGAATAGAAGCAGTGTGCAGAAATTCCAAATAATACCTGAGTATTTAAGAACCATAATTTCTAATGAGAATAATTTGGTCCTCATTTTTTAGAGCACTGGAGTTAATAACATGTTGCCAAGTGTATTTCTGTGCCTGGAATTATAAAAAATCCTCTGTAGGCAGACAGGATTTGTCTCAAAGGTTTAGGAACACATTTCAAAGTCACAAATACAGATTATTAACCATTAAAAATGCCAGAAATTCTATTTTACTGAGTTAAAAGGAAGGTAATATACCTTTCTAAGCACATGTATTATTATTGAACACTTCGGGTCTATGTTCCTCAGAGAACACAAAAAAGGAGGTTCTGGACTTTAACTGAAACAGAAATAAATGGTTTTTAATCGTTCATTAGATAGATTCAGTGTCATTCATTCAAGAAGGTAAATAACATGAATTATTGTTGTAAGGAGTAACTTCCTAACAATGAAAATAAAAACTGTGGAATTTTATTCTCACAAGGGTTTCTGAAATAGGATTAATGTTCTTCCTCCTGAAATATTTTAGGAATATCATTGTCTAGAGGCTGAGTGTCAAACTGAGTGATGTTAGTTTCTTAATCCTAATTCTCTTTCTTTAAAAAATGTTAAGAGTCTTATATGCTGTGGAGTATTTGTAGTAGGGCCCCTACATGGAATGGAGTGTAAAATATAATCAGAACAATCTGAACAAAAAGAGAGTTTTATGGCGTACCTCAGTATGATGCCCTTATAATTTTATCTGCTTGAAATTACTGAGTAATTCATAAAATAATCATTAAACAATGGGGAATAACAAGCAGGGCCTTGGTCAACAACTAGCACAGTTATGGGTATAAGATCATGTTCCATATGGTAGATCACCATATGCATTTGTGTGCCTCCTCTCTTACCATCAACCCAGTAGCTAGTGTGTAAATTAAGTATTGTGTGAGCTTTCAGAGTATTTTGTGAGAACTTTCAAGTTGGCCTATATACAGCAAACTATACAAGCACAGCATTTGTTCTTGTTTCATTTATCCACTTAGAACTTGCATTTCAGTAATTTGGTTTCCCGATTGCATTATTTATAATCATATTCTAAATGTTGCTTTTAGTTAACTACTTTTCTTTTCTTTTCTTTCTTTCTTTTTTTAATTTAGAGACAGCCTTACTTTGTCACCTTCGGTAGAGTGCTGTGGCATCACAGCTCACAGCATCCTCCAGCTCTTGGGCTTAGGCGATTCTCTTCTCTCAGCCTCCCAGGTAGCTGGGACTACAGGCACCCACCACAATGCCTGGCTATTTTTTTTGTTGCAGTTTGACCAGGGCTGGGTTTGAACCTGCCACCCTCAGTATATGGGGCCAGTGCCCTATCACTGAGCCACAGGCACCGCCCTAGTTAACTACTTTTTATTTACATGTGTAGAAAGAGTTTGTGTATGTACAAATTACGGCTTTCTACCAAACTGAGCTATAATAACCATTTCCAACTTTCTCTTAAAAAAAACAGTTAAAAATAGGTGAATGTAGAACTCAAGAGGATTTTTTTAATCAAAAAGATATGAAATATTATGTTTTTTCAGCATAAAATTAGAATTCTAATTTTAGTAAATTTTACTAATCTGTGCACTGCAATTGTATGTAGTCACTGTAAACCATTCATTCATTGGCACACCTTTTGAAATTAAATGACGTTTTAGCAGTACATTCAGTTTATGGGAAAGTTGAATCATAGATGTAAAATGCTTTCTCCTTGATTAAGTTCTTAATGGGTGAGGAGCTCCTCCTGGAGGTCATGGATGGAAAGAGACACAGTTTATGGCATTGTATTTGGAATATTATTAAATTCGTGCTTTACAAAGTGAAATGAGTATTTTGTTGTAAAAGGTTGCCCCGATATTTAAGTGAGTTCATATGCCCATATCACTAGCTATATTAGAAATGTTATTCTCATGTTGTTAGTGTGTGGCTCTCTTAGTCTGATGCTTATGGCAAATAAATTCAGAAAGAAGTCCAAAGCCAATAAATTATGTTTCCAGAATAATATTAATAATAAACTCTTTGGGGATATAAAGTGATTTTCTAATTCCAGGGTTTGGCCAACACCATTCTAACTTATGCTTTCAATGTGTGGTCCCAAAAGACCACTTACGATGCATACGAGTTAGATCAGAAGACAGAAATAGAGGACCAAGAAAATAATAGCAATCAAAGCAATTCCAGGATATTCAGCAGTCATTGTGTTTACATTGGGTTTCTACCATTTAAACTTAACATTTCCTGTTTTCACAGTGTAGTATCATAGGTGTCAGAGGCACTAATCTTGTTGCATGCCCTTAGGATTATAGTTAATAAACCCATATTATAGATAAAATAATTGAGTCATAGTGAGATATAAGGGTTTTTTTTCCTTAATGACCAGAAAGGAAACAAAAATAGAGGCAACTAAACACAGGTATATTATGAACTTGAGTTTTGGCCGCTGCTTACTCTAAAGTGAAAGAGCAGGAAGCATAGAGTAATGTATTGCCAAACTTAATACCTTGAAATTCAAAATGCCTTTTGTTTGTGGCTTATAGCACCAGGGAAATACATCACTTTGGTCTTTGGCATATTTCCCTCCTAAAATAAAAGCTCTGTCATCTTTGTATTTTTATCCAGATAGCTCTTTCTTTGTAGGTATAAATATATTTTTTCTAATTTTTCTCAATTAATTTTTAATCTTTTAATTACCCAAAGTTGATCAAAGTCTAAATTGATTTTCATTTTGCCAAGGCAACAATAAAAATAGACCTACCTTACCAAATCACTTGAATAAACAAAATAAATACCCTTGGTTTTTCGACTTCATAAACGGATTTATTTACTAGCGCCTATTTGGCGCTTTCTTTGGGTCTGTTCCTAGGACTGCATAATTCCTCCCACATAAGACCTACAATTCCACTTACCTGTGGAGGTGAGTGGACTCTATACCATCCATGATTCTAGAGTAGCAGTTCTCAACCTGTGGGTCACAACCCCTTTGGGGATCAAACGACCCTTTCACAGGGGTTGCCTAATATCAGATATTTACATTATGATTCATAACAGTAGCAAAATTACAGTTATGAAGTAGCAATGAAAATAATTTCATGGTTGGGGGTCACCACAACATGAGGAACTGTATTAAAGGGTCAGGGCATTAGGGAGGTTGAAAACCACTGATCTAGAGTGTCCTTCACGTCACACTAGGACACAAGATTGCAATCACTGCTATTTGTAAAGGGCCCTTCTAACAGTGTCACCCCAACCCATTCCCTCTGGTCCTGGAGGAATGTCCCTCTATGCTATCCTTACACAGCAGAGCTCCCTAACAACAGCCCCTTTATGAAAGCCAGTGTCTGCCCGCAGTTTTCTGTGTGTTGGATTTCACTCACATTATTAGGCATTTATTTTTTAGACTTTACCAATGAAGCCTTACAGAAACTTTCATTTCACCTTAGATTTTTGTTTGTTTCCAGCCTATATGTGTTTTGACAATTAAGTTCACGAACTTACCACTGTGCGCTTACACTGTATAAACAACTTGGTAAAATATCATGACCTTGGTATATCAGTGTCTCACAGTTGTGTTTGTGACCATGTGTGGTGGTGTCTTGCTGAGTGGCATTCATTTTTGTGTGTGTTTTGGGGTGCTGTCATAAGAATGTCAGAGCTTGAATAAGAGCAGCAAAGGAACATTCATAAGTTTCATGTTAAACTGGGCAAGGGTGGAAGTGAATCCAGGGACATGTTAGTCTAAGTTTATGGGGTGATGCCAAGAAGAAAACAGCAGTGAATGCTGGATTAAACATTTTTCTGAGGGGAGAGAAAACGTCGCTGCAGAAGCAACAAATCAGACATCAAAGTCATTGGCTGACTGGAGAAGCATAGCAGACCAAGTAAACATCAATAGAGAAACAGGAAAATCTCCACTGAAAATCTTGGCCAACAACTCATGGTTCTTGCATCATGACAGCGTACCAGCTTACATGGCACTGACTGTGAGAGAGGTTTTAGACAGTAAACAAATAACTGTATTGAACACCTTCATTACTTACCTGATCTGGCCCCAGTAGCTTTTTTCTTTACCTGGAGATAAAAGAAATATTGAAGACATTTTGATGACATTCAGGATATCAAGGGTAATACAGTCACTGCTTTGATGGCCATTCCAGAAAAAGAGTTCCAAAATTTCTATGAAGGGTGAACTAGGCTCTGGCGTGAGTACAAAGCTTCCCAAGGGGAATACTTCAAAGGTGACTATAGTGATATCTAACAATGAGGTATATAGCACTTTTTCTAGGATGGGTTTGCGAACTTTACTTGTCAGTCCTTGTAGGTTTATTAGTAACCTCAACTTTGACACCTCCATATAGGCCATCATTCTCATTTTCACTATGAAACATTGGATAAGTGTTCACTATGTCTGCCTCGGTAGCAGAAGCTAGGCCATACAGGTCCTGGCATCTTTTTGTTTTGCATATGTGTGACAGCATATTGATTCTCTCTAACAGCAACTGAAACTGATAAGTGAGCCAAAGGACTTTCACTGAGTCCTTTGGAGAGAATTTAGAGAAGATTTCAAAATTAATTTCCAAATGAAATTTGAGAGCACCTTGTGGTAAACAGTAGAGTATAGATAACATCTTAGCCTTTCCCTTAGTACATCCTGGACAAAGATCGCTCCATAGGGAGCTGTTCTTATAGGTTTTACTTTTTGCAATTGTTTTAGCTTTATTACCAAATATTTCCCAAGAGACGTGGTTTTTCAAAGAGGAAGCACCAGGATTCTATCCAAAAAGTAGCCCAGAGTTAATGCTGTAATTTAATAAGCTGTCCAGCAGAGGTCTCTAGACTTCATGGTTTATAATAAGAGCATTTTAAACAATAAAATTAAACTGATTCTTTGCGTAACAGAAATATACTCCTTTTAAGCATATTTTCCCCTGGATGGATTTTTAAATAACTATATTTCACGTATAATAGGATAAACTCTGCTTACTCATGCTTGAAGATATATTCAGATTTGTTATTTTCCCTAACTAGATAGAAGCCTAGTTCTCACTGATTTTGCACCTTAAAAAGAAGTAAATATATATATGAAAACATGGAAGATAAAAGCAGCTACCAATATTTTACAGGGCCAGCAACATCACAAAGGCATTAAAGTAGTTTGGCATTCTTTCTATGCAGCCTAAATGTATAATTAAATCAAGCAACTATATTATTTGTATGGCTTGATTGATAAAGTTAATGATTGGACTGCAAGGATATACTTTTCTTTGTACAGAATCAGGAAATTAGTTAAATAAATACCAATTTCTATATTTTGTGTTACCAGCAATGAAATCTACATTGCTCCTTCAGGAGTGCAAAAGGAACGAATTCAGGTATGGTAAAGGGATTACTCTTAAACTCCAATGTCTTGTCTTCTCTACTTAACTGTTATTTTGAGAAATGGAATTAATTTTAAAAGAAAATGTTAATTTTGAAGGGTGGTTATATTGTGACAGTTCAATGAATCAACAAATAGTTATTGAATAACTATTAAATTTTTTAACCATGGTAAATATTCTGCATACAACCAGTGAATGTTTTAAAATCTCATTCAGTCTGTAGAGGGCAAAAGTGAATAGTGCAATGTTAAATCATAAGAAGGGTGATCTTTGGCATCCTGTGACATTATCTTTATCAGGCCAGTAGGGTAATCAGATTGATTTTCTCAGATGGAGCAAAATGACTCATATTTCATAATAGCAAAGCTATTCTAGTTTTAAGCTAGAAACTTTATTTCTCATTTTAGAGTCCTATTCTATATCAATCCTGGAATAAAACCTCAAATCTAGTTAAAACATACAATACTTACAATACTTAATACATACAAGGAAAAAAACTGCTTTATTAATAAGACATTTATGTTGTAATTTTAGATAAACCCTGACAAATGAAAGTTATGAGTCAGAAATACTCATACATTACCAAAAAAGCCCTGTAGATCAGCATAATTCCTCAAAACTTTAAGAAGAATATACCTCATTTGCAATTAACCTTTCTGAATACCAGTTAAGTTTTCTCAGGGGAGAAGAATATTTTACTTTAAATTTTTGCTCTTTATGAAATATGTATGTGGGGGGGGTTTGTAATGCCTGTTTGGGAATGTTGGTTTCTTTATACAGTCTTTCTAAAATACAGCTATGACTCTGGTTTCTCTTCAGATCAAATAAATCTTTCACCTTTTACTGAAAAATAGCTATGAAATAATGAGGCAAAGTTGAGGAGCTAAATTGGCAAAATGGCAGCAACATCACTACAGACATTGATGTTCCATATCTAATTGTTTTTCAGATTTTAAACAAAGATGCTTTTTAGACTGTTGAGGATATTTTTGTTAGTAGAAAATATTTTTTATGTCTCAAAATTGTTAAAATACTTTGAGAAACTATAATTGCATGAATATTAAAAATGTGGGTTAAGTATACATACATACACAGGTATGTGTATATACGTACACTCTGTATATATAGTACTATACATGTATATACACAAACACACAAGAAATGCAGCATTTCTATGCATTGATCCTATCTATATTAAATTTGTATAGACCTTTTTCTTGTTTTCTTCCTTCTATAAATAGCCTGAAGACATGTTTGTTTGTGATATAAATGAAAAGGACATAAGTGGACCTTCGCCATCTAAGAAGCTTAAAAAAAGCCAGTGTACTCCTCTATTCATGAATGCTTACACAATGAGAGGTATGCACACAGTATATTCAAGAGAAAGAATACTTGCCCAGCAGACTCCCATAAATAAAGTTAACTATTATTTTAGTTAATATTTCCTGAGTGCCTACTATGTGCCTTTACTAAGTCAGTTCTCAGATCAGCCTGTGAAGAAGGTTCAGTATTATTCCATTTACCTTCTTACCCATCACCAACTTCTTATTCCATGCCAGGAAAAATAAATCCATATATAAAAAATATATAAAAATACATGGAGATAATTTTTTTTTCCTTACAAGTTACAATGTCGTCTTCATTGAGCATGTGACTGTCTTTGTCCTCCTCAGGAGCAGGTGCAGTGATCCACACCCACTCCAAAGCTGCTGTCATGGCCACCCTTCTCTTTCCGGGACAGGAGTTCAAAATTACACATCAAGAGATGATAAAAGGAATAAGGAAATGCACCTCGGGAGGGTACTATAGGTATTTTTTCTTTTTTGCTTAAAGAATTTGAAAAGAATTTTTCCATCCCTTTGATAAACAGGATACTGATCTTTTTGTGTATATAATGAGGTGTCTCGGGAGCTGTGTTAAGTGGCCCTGAGTATCACAATTCCAGATCTGTTCTCATGACAGAAATCAGACGGGGTCCCTCCTCCCTGACCCCTGCCCCGGCCGTGGTAAATTATTAGCAAAAAGAATAATGAAATGTTTGTTTCAGTAAACTGAAGAAAACCGTAGCAGAGGTTTCTCCAGAGGAGGAGATTTTATGTTCTACCTTGAGGCACCCAAGAGCAAGATCTCTTCACCTGCCTTTGTCTTTGGGAAGTCTGAACCATGACTGAACTCGAGACTTTATGTTTATTAATTTAGTATTTCTAGAATATTTTCATATTTATAAAAAGCTTTCTAATCCTTTTAATGAAATCTGTACAGTTTTATAATTTTCCAGTGTAAAAGTTGGTATGGATAGTTAAATATGTAACGGTATCCTTCTAGATAAATTAATCCACCAGCCTACAAAGGTAATTGTTCTCAAGTCTAGATAATAATGACGTGAGGAAACACATTCTCAGTGCTCAGGTGCAACTTAAGCGTGGCATTTGAGTTTTTTAGCATTCTTATTCCTGAGACTTCCCCTTTCTTAATTTCCTAAAGGGCCTGCTTCGGCCTCGCCTTGCTTTGTTTAGAGGAAAATGCTGCCAGTTTGACTAAAGCATTCTTTCAGCAATATCATATCGTTACTGCATGTAACAGGGCATGCATGTTTAAACTAGTGTACTGAGAAATTAATTTGATTTGATTTCAGTTAATAATTTATTGTATACCTAAAGCATTCCTCGGTGTTATAAAACACCTATTTAAAGTTAAATATTTAAATTCTGAGAAGTGTAGATACTAAAGTGTAGCTTCATGTTACTTTTTCCATATCTAGGTCCTGAAGGAGCGGCATTATCGGGGCTATGAGTTACACACACATTTGATTGCTTTGGCGAACAAATAAAAATAAGTCAGAAGAACTTATTTTTTCCAGAAACAGGGGAAAGGAGAGGTACAAGAAGCATAATAGCCTTTAGAATTTTGTGTAGAAAAGCATGACATGAATGAAAAGATGCCATTTGTTATGTATAACATAAATATTTCATATTATTTTCATTGTTTCAGAATTTGAAGAATAAAAACATGTGAGTGCCCTTTGCAATTTTTTTTTTTTTTTTTTTTTTTGAAACAGAGTCTCACTCAGTCACTTTGTGTAGAATATCATGGCATTGTCAAGGCGCACAGCATCCTCAAACTCTTGGGCTCAGGCGATCTTCATTCCTTAGCTTCCCAAGTTGCTGGGACTACAGGCACCTACCACAACACCCAGCTAATTTTTTCTGTTTTAGTAGAGATGGTATGTGTCAGGGGTGGGGAGGGTGGGGGAGGAAGGGTGTCTCACTCTTGCTCAGGTTGGTCTTCAACTCCTGAGCTCAAGAAATCCACCTGCCTAAGCCTCCCAGAGTGCTAAGATCATAGGTGTGAGCCGCACACCCAGCCCCCTTTGCAATTCTGTTGGAGATAGCTGGGATATGAGTAACAGGGTCATTGTCACAGCTTAGGGGGCAGTAATATTTTATCTGATTTTGAAAAGAATCCTAAGAATCTAATCACAAAAAGTTCTATAAAAGTTGGATAAAATTTTAATATTCTCTACTCTCTTTTCCGTTAAATACAGTCATGTGTCACTTCACAGTGGGGATCCTTTCTAAGAAATGCATCGTTCGGTGATTTTGTCTTGTGCCAACATCCTAGAGCAGTGGCTCTCAACCTTCCTAATGCCACGACCCTTTAATACAATTCCTCATGTTGTGGTGACCCCCCCAACCATAAAATTATTTTCATTGCTACTTCATAACAGTAATTTTGCTACTATTATGAATCGTAATGTAAATATCTGATACGCAGGATGTATTTTCGTTATTACAAAGCTGTCATAACCCACAGGTTGAGAACCGCTGTCCTAGAGTGTACTTACATAAACCTAAATGGTATGCCTACTACATAACCTGGGCTACATAGTACAGCCTGTTGTAGGCCACAACCCTGTACAGCATATTATGTACAGAATCCTGCAGGCAATTGTAACACAATGATAAGTATTTGTGTATCTAAAACATAGAAAAGGTACAGGAAACATACAGTAAAAAAGATAAAAAGTGGTACATCTGTATGGGACACTTACTATCAATGGAGCTTACAGGAATGGAAGTTGCTCTGGGTGAAGGCCTTAGACATTATGTGAGCTACTGTAGACTTTATAAACACTGTACACTTAGGCTACACTGACTTTATTTAAAACCTATTTTTCAGTAATAAGTTAACCTTAGCTTAGTATAACTTTTTTACTTTGTAAACTTTAAATGTTTTGGTTTACTTTCTGATTCTTGTAATATTTCCCTTGAAATGTGACACAGCTATACAAAAGTCCTTCTTTACATCTTTATTCTATTTTTTTTAATTTTTTAATTAAAATTTTTTTTAACTCCAGGTAAACACAAAAGATGTAAAGTCTCCATCTTTACTTATGGCTGCATAGTACTCCACAGTATACATATACCACAGTTTGTTAATCCATTCATGGGTTGATGGGACCTTGGGTTGCTTCCAGGTCACATTTTTCTTTGTGAAGTATCTCAGGAATGGGGAGAAAAGTATCCAATGTGCTCATTACTAATATGAAACCATAAATAACTACACTCCCACACAAAAGAAAAACGCTAAATTTAGCAAGGGAGGGGAAGGGAAGAGGAGAGGGGAGAAAAGAGACCTATTGGCAAGATCTCACCTAAGGCGCACATTCGAGGGTATTCAACACACCCCCTGGGTGACAGGCTTAACGACAACTTAAACTTTACCTTAGAAATGAAAACAGTGTAACCTAAACATTTGTACCGTCATATTAATCTGAAATAAAAATAATACTAATAATTTTTTTTTTTTACTATTTAAGTTTTTTTATTAAAAACTAAGACACAAACACACACTAGCCTAGGCCCACAGAGAATCAGGATCATCAATATCACTGCCTTCTACCTCCACATCTTGTCCCACTGAAAGGTCTTCAGGGGCAAAAACATACATGGAGCTGTAATCTCCTGTGACAATAAGGCCGTCTGGAATACCTCCTGAAGGACCTGCCTGAGACTGTTTTGCAATTAACTTTTATGAATACATATTTAGAGGGAGTATATGATAATGACAGAAAATATAGTGTAGTAAATACATAAACCAGTAACATAGTCATTTATTATCATTATCAAGTATGATGTACTGGACATAATTGTATATGTTACACTTTATACAACTGGCAGTGCGGTGGGTTTGTTTATATCAGCATCACCACAAACATGGGAGTGCTGTGTTATGCTGCGACCTTCCAGCTGCTACAAGGTCACTCAGCAATAAGTTTTTCAGCACTATGACAGTCTTAAAGGACACCCTTACATATGCAGTTTGTTGACAAGAAGGAGGTTATACAGAACATGAGTGTACTAGTTCTTACTAAGGGAGGTTAACATGTATAAATATGATCGTCTTTCCTTTTGGAAGCAACATACCTGTGGTGTAGAGAAGGTAATACTCTTTGACGGTCAAGGACTTTCTTGGCTCTCTTATTAAATTTGTAATGATCAGTATCCTGAGTGTAAAATGAAAGAATTGGCTTGAATTCGCTTTCAGCTCTTTATTTTGTCGTGAAATTGTTTTGTACCTGGAAATGCTTCTGACCCTTCAGTGTGTGCTAAAGGAAAATAGAAGTTTGTGGTTCTCCCGACCAATATTAGAAAAGATTTGTGACTTGCAATTCATTCCTTCCTTATTTAAGGATAGTTAATGATTTCCTCCGTTTTACTTGACATGAACTAATGGGTAACACCACACTCATAATGATAATGGTTAGCCAAGTTGCTTATCACATGACAGCTACTTAGTGTATATATGCCTAAAGTAGCAATTTCTGAATATTTTTAAGTTTCAGCATTACAGAGGTGATATTACATTAGCAATGCAAGAGAAATTCATTTAGAAAGACTTACCTAAATGACCTCAAGAATAGACTTCATTTTGCCAGTAAGTAGGTTTTTTGTTTAATTATTACATTCCAAAAAACAAAGTTCTAATGTTTTGTTTGTATTTCCAAAAAGCAAAGTTCTAATGCTATAGATTTAAGAATGTTCTGAACGTTTTGCCATAGCTTTAGCAGTTATCTCTAGAACAGTGGTTCTCAACCTTCCTAAAGCTGCGGCCTTTTAATACAGTTGAGAACCACTGCTCTAGAAGGTTCTACCTTTAGTAGTTATCTCTAGAAGGTTCTTCCTACTTAGTGCCTCAAACCACACTTGGATTTATTGATTTGCCTTAACTGAGGCATCCTAGCATCCTGCAAAGATGAAATATAATGACTTTTGTATTGTTGAGGAATTTTTATTTAACTTGTAGTTCCATTTTTAATTCCTTTCTATAATTCTGATTTCTGAAATCTCATTTCCTTTCTCCTATTAAAAATATGATTGTCCCTGCTTCAAGGAAATGCTTGTATGATCTTGATGCTTTCTTTGTTAGGTTTTGGTATGCTATACAAATTTCTGCCAGTTATGCTTAGGATTAGAACAATGCCTACCAAATTCCCAAGGTATCTGTTGATACAGATGTTTATGCAAGATACACAGAGTAGCATGCAGTATCTTGTTTGTAATTTAGAACGGTTTTCCAGGTACAAAGAGAATGTCTAACCAGTTACTTGAAAAAAATTATGTATTATATAAATATGAATGACTGCATTTGTTTTAATTGGAAAAAAATGGCTCGTTTCATGTTACAGATATGACGATATGTTAGTGGTACCCATTATTGAGAATACACCTGAGGAGAAAGACCTCAAAGATCGAATGGCTCATGCGATGAATGAATACCCAGACTCCTGTGCGGTACTAGTCAGACGTCATGGAGTGTACGTGTGGGGAGAAACATGGGAAAAGGCTAAAACCATGTAAGTGTAACTCCAGGAACACTTGGGACAAGTTACTACACTCTACTTGTGAAAGAGAACGAGATGTTTTGTGGTTTAAGGTGGAGTATTTTTGTGTGTGTTGTATGGGCCAATTGGTTTAAAATTAAGTAGTTTATCACTAATCTTTCTAGATATTTTATATTTTTATTATGTATTCATTCCTTAAGAATTATTTATTGGAGGAATGTTACATGACAAGGCTCTATGGACTTTGATACAAAGAAGAAGGAAACACAGGTCCCAAGTTATATAAGTTCCACTTCAAAAAGTGGTACATAATAAAAATATAAATTTAAGTAAGTAGCGTATTTTAAACTCCCTTTTATTTCTTGAGAAGTATATAATTTGGATCCATGATTCAGTATAATTCAGTTTTAAAAACTTGGGGCCAAAATAAGAAAATTTTGGGCTCGGCACCTGTTGCTCAGTGGTTAGGTTACCAGCGACATGTACCAGGGCTGGTGGGTTTGAACCTGGCCCGGGCCTGCTGGCCTGCTAAGCAACAACAACAATAGCAAACAGCCTGGCATTGTGGTGGGCACCTATAGGCCCAGCTACTTGGGAGATTGAGGCAAGAGAATCACTTAAGCCCAAGAGTTTGAGGTTGCTGTGAGCTGTGATTCCATGACACTCTACTGAGGGCAACATAGTGAGACTATTTCAGAATTTAAAAAAAGAAAATTTTGGTTTAGAATTTAGGGGGGAAAATGTACCAGAAACAAAACAAAGTTAACTGGATAGTGAAAAGCAAGGTGATTGTTTAGGATTAGAGACCCCTGTTTCAGTAAACACCTTCAGTTCTGTTTTTTTCTTTTACAGGTGTGAGTGTTATGACTATCTGTTCGACATTGCCGTATCGATGAAATCAGTAGGACTTGATCCTACCCAGCTCCCAGTTGGAGAAAATGGAATTGTATAAATCAAAGAATGTTTAATTATATACACAGATAAAGCTAAACTTAATTATTACTTCAATGAAACTTGGCTATTTTTTTAAATGAACTGAAAATTTCCATGCTACTATTTGACACTGAATATTGCAGAGGGTCACCTTGAATCTCTTCTGACATTAGATGGTATTTGCTTACATGATAGGACAGTGGAATAAAATTTTTATATTCAGTGTTTTTTGTGCTTATTTTTAAATTCTTAACGGCAAAGTATTTGCCTTTAACTTAATTTCTTTTTTATGTCTACTCTGAGAAGATTCCTCTTAATCTTTGAAGCTGATGATAAGATTTATTGGAAAATTTCCACCTAATCATAGAATGAGCATTTTCTTATTTTAAATATTGGTATCATAAAATTCATGTGAAATATTAAGGCCAAATGTATACCTCGATGTTGATGTCTAAACAATTTTATGGAGTTCCCCTGCAATCTTTAGTGTTTCCTCTAGTCTAGCATAACACAGGGCACTCATTTTATATTGAGGGTCAGTTGTGTAACATGAGATATGACTTCACTCAAACTCTCCTAACCAAACAAACCCTGACCAAACCAGTGACATAATCAGAAAGACTTTTAAATGTTATTAAAGGCAACATTTTAATCATAAAAATTTTATTTGATGAATGCTTTTTTTAATTAGGAGAGAACCGTTAATAATATATTACCTCCAAAATGTTAACCTCTTTCCCTAGGAAATCATTTTCCCAACCTCATGACTATTTTTTCCCACACTTCCCTCTGTTTCATCAAATCTCCAACATTCTTTTTCCACCACTTTCAGGTAATAACCTTGCCTCACACATGAAGAGATAAAATTGATTCATGATGAAGAAAATTAACCAATCATCCACATTTCATCAGCCACCTATGCCAATCATCCAGTACAAGGTTGGTTCTTAGATCTTCCACTTAGGTCTTGGGTCCGTCGTCCTCTGCCCAAGGTCTTTGCTTATACAAAGATCCCCACATTTATCCCACGTCTCTTGTATTGTCAAATTTGTACCCTCTTCACTGGGTCTTTTCCACTGATACAAAAACATGCTGCAGTAGATACAGCATCGTAAAATACAAACCTTGCCTTCAACCTTCAGTTAACTCCAGCACTTTTAGAGCAAAACTTGAAAATTGTTCATGCTTCCTCAATTTTCTGTTCTCCCCCTTGTTCCTTGGCCCTCTGCAGTGGGGCCACACCGCTCCACCAAAGCAGCCCTTAGCAACAGTAACCAAATTCCCTGAGCCCTCGACCTCTGCCTGCTGCTTTCACTTTCTTGCTCTAAATGAAAACCTGTCTTTCCTCTAAAGACAATTTCCCCTGATACTGAAGTGGTGTTTGTTTCACTTCCTCTCTGACCCCTGGGCCTGGCGGTGGAATGAATGAATTCCTTGAACACTAAATGTCTCTCCCCTAAGCTTGTTCAGTGTATTCAGCAATCCTTCAATCATAGTTAATTCCAGCCCTCTCCTGTCTCAGCACCTGCACACGTACGCCTTAGTGTGGCAGAAGAAACACACGGCCTTGTTAACATCAATTGGGCCTTCAATGCAGACAGGGAATTTCACTTTATTACCCTGAACTGTTCATTCTCCCACACTCCCGGGCAACTGCTTTTGTCCTCTCAAACTTCCAGGACCTCCTTGCATACTCACTGTTGGCCAATGACCTTGACTGCTCTTTCACTGAAAACCCAGAAGCAGTGAAGAGAGCACTCCCACAGGCTTTCAGCTTGGCCGCAGGGACTACACAGGGCAGATGAACTCTCCCTGCTGCCCACTAAGGCCACATTCCTCACTTCTCTGTCAGAGTTCTAGGCGTTGGAGGGCCTCGGGACTCTGTCCTTAACCTGTTCTCCTTCTATACTTTTTTCCTAGGAAATCTCATTCAGTGCTATCATTTTAATGTGGTGATTCACAGTGATCTCTAGTCTAAAGCTTGACATTTTGGAATTCTATCTCCAGCTCCTATTCAGCATCTCCCATTGTTCATCTAGTAGTAGACATCTTGACCCACCATGGCCAAAACACCACTACTGGTTTTTCTTCCCTATAAGCCCCACTCGTTACCCACACATTTTCTGGATGCTTCTACCAAAAACTTCTTTGAGATAGACTGCGTCTCACTCACTAAAACTAAGAAAAAGGCCTCTGACATGATATAAACACTCAGTAAATATTTGTTTCCTGGATTCTTAGTGGAGTTTCCCCAACTGGGGAAAAAATAACTTTAGTCATTTCCCTTTAATCTCATTTTCCTCAGTTTTAAATGATCAAATGAATGAAATAAAGTGTGTGAAAAAACAAACACAGGCGGTGCCTGTGGCTCAAAAGAGTAGGGCACCGGCCCCATATGCCGGAGGTGGCAGGTTCAAACCCAGCCCAGGCCAAAAAAAATAAAAAGAAAAAACAAACAAACAACAGTGCTCAATCCCAGGTGATGTTCAATAAAAGTTCCCTCCCTTTCCATTAGTGCCAGTTAATCCTCATAACAGTCTGAGGTATGTATTGTCCTCACGTTTTAGATGGGGAAATTGAAGCTCAGGAATAATAAATATGTAGAATTTAAATAAGAGAAAGTATGTAAACATAACACAGTACCTGTCATACACACTAGGTATGTATTCACAATATAAACTTCCTTTCCTACAATCCTCCACCCAGGGGTCCTCAAGGATTGTTATTCAAGTAAATTATTGTAAGATCCAAGCAAACAGAATTCAACAACACCTCAAAAAAATTGTACACCATGATCAAGTTGGTTTTATCCCAGGGTTGCAAGGTTAATTCAACATACATAAATCTATAAATATCATACATCACATAAATAAAAAAAGACCATAACATTCTATCAATTGATGCAGAAAAAACTTTTGATAATATCCTTTCATGATCAGAACACTTAAGAAAATAGGCTTAGATGGGACATTTCTTAAACTGATAGAGGCCATCTACATCAGACCCACAGCCAATATCACATTGAATGGAGTAAAATTGAAAACATTTCCACTCATCTGGAACTAGACAAGGATGCCCATTGTCTCTACTGCTACTCAACATAATAATGGAAGTCTTAATCATCACAGTTGTGGTATATATATACCATGGAATACTATGCAGGCATAAAAAGGATGGAAACTTTACAACCTTTATGATTACCTGAATGGAACTGAAACATATTCTTTTTAGTAAAGTATCTCAAGAATGGGAAAAAAAGTATCTGATGTACTCAATACTATTATGAAACCAATCTGTCATCACCTACACATTCATATGAATGATAAAACACAACTACAGTCCAAAAAGGAGGAGGGAAGAGGAGGGAGAGAGGACAAGAGGGGAGAGGGTAGAAGGAGGGAGGGTATGTGATGAGACCTCACCTACTGTGCACAATGCAACATTTCAAAACTACTAAGAATATAGTACAAATGTCTTACCACAACAAATAAGTAAGTAGGATGATGGCTATGTTAACCAGTTTGATTTCAGCATTCCACATTATATCAGATCAGCACATTATACCCCATAATTGTACACAGTTATGATTTAATAAAATAAAAAAAGACAAGTAAATTCTTGTATGCTGCTTCATCACTGGCAATGCAGAAAAGATTTACAAATCCTGCTTAGAGGTAGAGGGGATGGCTGGCATGTCCTAGTTAATATTCTTTTCTTTTTTTTAAAGAATATGATCATTCCAGGCCAGGCATGGTGTCTTAGGCCTGTAATACCAGGACTGAGGAAGGAGGAGATGGGAAGACTGCTTGACGCCAGGAGTTGGGACCATCATGAGCAAGAGTGAGATCCCCCTGCTACAAAAAATAGAAAAAATTAGCTAGACTAGGGACATGAGCCTGTAGTCCAAGCTATCTGAGAGGCTGAGGCAGAGGAATCACTTAAGCCTAGGATTTTGAGGTTGCAGTGAGCTGCACTACACCTTAGCCAGGGTGACAGAACAAGATGGTGTTTCAAAAAGTGAAGAGAGATATAATCCTTCCTACATGACCACTAGGAGCTGAGGATTTTATATATATATTTTTTTTAATATAATATTTATATAATATTTATATAATTTAAATATATATTTATATATATTTTATATATTTGTTTTTATATGTATTCATATTTATATAATGCATGCATAAATACATGTTTTATAATATGTATTTATATTTATAAATATAAATTTGCTATATTTATATATATTTTTAAATTTTATTATATATAATATATATTTATATGAAATATTGATATTATATTTTTATATAATATTTTAAAATGTTTTATATATATATGCATACATATAAATAGATATAAAGGATCCAAAGGACACCCCAAAAAGGGTACACAGACAAGAGAATGGGAGTAGACAGGGTGCTGAATATTTGTGCCCAAGACTGGGTGGGAAATCTATTCAAACAATATTGCTATAACCCTTAGGTTAGTAAGTGGATGCCAATAGATATAGAATTAATAGCCCTCTATTAAGGGTTATAGCAGTATTAAGCTTAAGGCTTAACCGAATATTAAGCAGGTGGGAATGAGGAGTAAAAGGAAATATCTACTTCAGTTCCTCTTCCCGATTTTGTTGTAATAGGATGGATCCTAAGAAAAGTGAATGTCATGTTAACTTTTATGTTATAGAATGTATTTGATCATTGTCGTTAATGGACTGGACTGGGGAAGTCTTAAATTTCTTTTGGTGATAGAATTGAAGAGATAGGTTATAAATAAACAAATGAGTACTATATTACATCTCAAAGGAAGAAATTGGGAAGTATAGGATTATAAAATCTTGATGAGACAATAAAGTGTTATGGTTGAAAACTCAATAGGTGCTCCATGTGGGATAAGAAAAGAATTTCTCTAGACTAAGATTCAGGTATAAAAGCAGAAACATTATCTTCTTAGGAGGAGAAAGGAAGAGATACAGAGAAAGAGAGAGAGACAAGAGAAGCAGATGATGTGGCATCCCAAAGGAAAAATGCCCACCCTGATGTCCAATGGCCAGTTGAATTTAAAGGGGACAAGGAGAAAAAGGTAGTAACTGTGACATAACTATGTGTCTTCCTATTAGTAAACTACGAGTCACTTTAGACATTAACTGTATTTAATAACAATTGCATAAAATGGCTCGGTGCCTGAGGCTCAAGCGGCTAAGGCGCCAGCCACATACACCTAAGGTGGTGGGTTCGAATCCAACCCGGGCCCGCCAAACAACAATAATGGCTGCAACCAAAAAATAGCCGGGCGTTGTGGCGGGTGCCTGTAGTCCCAGCTACTTGGGAGGCTGAGGTAGGAGACTGGCTTGAGCCCAGGAGTTGGAGGTTGCTGTGAGCAGTGAAGCCATGGCACTCTACCCAGGGGGACAGCTTGAGGCTCTGTCTCAAAAAAAAAAAAAAAAATTGCATAAAATCTTACAGTTTAGCAAGTACTTTCACTCTTAGTCATCTTCTCCATAATCCTGATGTCAGCATCACCACCACCCATCACAGAATATAAGCTACTGGGGAGCCAAGGCCACATCCTATTTCCATATCCCTGTGCCCATTCATTATAAACAACCAAAAAAAAATTTGCTTTTTAAATAAATCCTCATGTTGCAATGGCAAACATGCT